TTGCATCATGACCCTTTAACTCAGGGCCAACGAGGTATAGGGCATTAGAGTGATAAACTGGCAGCTGAAAGTGACCCCCAATTGACCGCCGCCATGTTGTACAATTTTTACCACTAGACACGTGACCAGGCCAAATCTATGACGTACCCAGACCAAATCTCTGGCGTCAACGATAAGATGGCAGCGCCCAGTGCGTGTCGGAAGCGTTGTGGGCGTTGATCGGAGTGTGTGGATTTCGTGTGCGGAATTCGGTTTTTCAGGGTTTTGTATGATCCCCGCGTAGGAATAACGTGAAGTGGGAGGGAATGAGGCTTTTCTTTTTTATTTAATTCAGAGTAAGCCAGATTCGGTCCCGTGCTTCTCGTACGGGCTCGGATCACTACCTCGGACATCGCTCGGTCGTTCGAGTTTAATTAAAATATCCGCAATCGTTAACCACGGGAGCTCCTCCATAATCGCTGAGTCGAAGGATACGTCGAACCCATCCGGAACGCGGAGTCTAAAGGTATGTAGGACGTAACCAGAACGCGGAGTTCTAACGGTACAGCGGACGTGCCCGGGCAATTTTCTTAGCTCGACCGTCAAGATTCGCATTTGAAGCAGCGAGTGAAGTGTTGAAATCTCCGAACTGCTCGGTGCTGAGCTAACTACGGACCACTTCATTATGTCATCCGTAGTGACGTGAAAAAGACCGACGGCGGTCACTCCGGGGGACAGCGGCTCCCGGCCGCCTGCCGGGTGCCTTCTGTGAAGGGGCGACAGTCGTGTAAGCAGTACTGTACCAGCTTCTCTTATAGTTATGTTGTTCTCAAGCAGCTTCCCGATCACTAAACCCCGCAAACGCGTGCCGAAATTTCAAAAGGTGTCTGCCAACCTGGAAAGCCTTGAACTCCCAGGGAATTTCGGATCATCTGGGAAAGTCGGGGAATCATTCAAAAAGTGGGCTAAATAAGGGAAGACGACGGTTGCTCGTCGGCACGGCCATGCTGAATGACATTGCCGAAATGTCATCCTTCGACTCAAAAACTCAAGGAATTTGATCAAAATAGTCAGGGAATAACTTGAAAAAGTCGGGGAATTTTAAATCACTAGTTTGTTAGACACAATATTTGATTTTCTTGGCACTCCACGCGTTTTTACACACGACAGGCACACGCCCGTGTATCACACGGCAGCCAGGCCAAGCGGCTGCCAGCCCCTTGTGCAAGGTCGATAAGACGCAAGCGTGGAACGCTTTCGGACTGCTGTAAATACACCAGCGGGAGCGTCCGGCCGCAGTCCGACTGCCCACGCTAGGACACCCGACACAGACTCCGCGTCCTGGGTACGTCTGACGTATCTTTAGATTTTGCATCCTAGGTACGTCAGACCTATCTTTAGACACAGCGCCTGATAATAGTAGTGAATTGGGTCACGTTCAGTGCGCAAATCACTTTATTACACTCGGAGAGCGGAATTCCATTCCCGTTGCGCAGGTAGTTCCCGAGCTAGGCATGCACTTGAAGACTATGTTTCACTCTTTCACAAAGCAAGCTTTGCGGGACCCCTTCGCCCTTGTGCACCCATTCGCAGGTCGTGTCGCCTTTCCTCACGTAACTCCCGCAGGTTCAGTGAGTTGCCGAGCCACTGCAGCCCTGGCGTCGCTCGGTACATACAAGAGGCGGCTCACGTCGGTCGTCCAGCAGCGTACTGGAGGGACGCAAAGCTAGCAGCCTCCTTGGTGCATGCAAGACGAGGCTGAGCAGAGCTCCAAGCTCTTCTGACGTACATGTGCACTCCAATGAGACCGGTGTCGCACCCCGATTCCTAGAGATGTGGTCGCACTGGCAGTCTTGTCGGTCCCTGGGGGCCGTCGAGGAGTGCCAGAAAGCAAAATTCCATCCTTCTTGCGCAGGTAGTTCCCCAGCTAGTCACTTCCTTGACGACGTCGCACCCTCTCTGGAAGCAAGCTTCGGGATGCTCTTGTGCACCCATTTGCAGGTCGTGTCGCCTTTGCTCACGTAACTCCCGCAGGTCCAGCGAGTTGCCGAGCCGCTGTAGCCCCGGCGTCGCTGGTCGTGCATCCTGGTCCTGGTCGTGCATCAACCACCGCTGCCCATTTCCGCTGAGTGCTTGGGTGTGGTAGCTTGACGTGCTTTCACAGAAAGCTGTATGCCTTTGCCGAGTAAAAATGGAGCGTGAGGGCAAACTTGCGCACATCCTCTGTACATGCGTTTTTGTTGCGCCTGACTCTTTTTAAGACGAGGTTGCGCATTGTGTTGGTGAATGCATTGTCAAGTATGTCAACTGCTGGCTTAGGAAGTCGTTTCCTCAGTTCACGGAGCAGCGTGTTCAGCTTCCTAATCCTGGCCGTCTTCCGATTGATCTTCTTCTTTGCCTGTTTCAACAGTTTCTTTGCCTTCTGCAGCTTTTGCCTACTCGTGGGCAGGACCCTGTGCAGTCGTGGTGACACAGCTGCGTACGAGTGGTCACCGAAGGAAGTGTTGCGTCGCTTGAACACAGCTTCAGGGGGAGTCTCTGACGTCGTAGCCTGAGAGGGGAAGTAACCAGCTTTACATTGCTTCCAGAACCAGCAGCAGCTTGGGCCTCTCCTGGGGTTGGCTGATCAGTCGTCGATCCAGGCTGCCTCTCTGGAGGGTGAGACCTGTCAGCAGAACAACGAGCGGTGACATTCAAGACTGCCTGTATTCCACAAGACTGTGTGCCAGGGCATGCATTCTTGGCAGGTTATACCGTGCAGTGTGATATGTGACCACACCTTTTATGCGTTGGCCAGGACTGGCACTGACCCACAAAAAGGGGGTGCTGGGAGTTCTGGCTTATGAATAGGGTTCCATGTTTTGGGTGTTTTTTAATTTGTGAGTATTACCTGGCTCAGTGAGCAAAAGAAGAGCCGTGATCAAAGGGTGCAGCCAAAAGCTGTAACCAAAAGTTGTGTCCAAATGCCGTGACTAATACGACGCAATCTAAGGAAAAAGAAAATAAGAGAAAAACAAACAGCTGTGCTCACGTTATCATTTTCGTCATGTGACTTAATTATTAATCGTGTGGTCAAACAAAAAATAAACCTAGAAATAAATTATCCCCTGCCCGGTTTCGAACCTAGGCTCTCATGATCGCAAAACTAGTGTGCTATTCATTGGGTCAACCTTGCTCATTGACGTCAATATAACTCGGCCAATGGTAATGCTCACGCATTCTCACATCATGAAAGAAAGCTGAGGTGCTCTCGTAGTTTTATTTTTTTTTAAAATGGGGGTGATTTTTTGGTGCTTATTTGTTCTCTCGAATTTTGAGCTTATCAGTGTCTTTTTTTTATATAGACTAAAACTCTGAGTGTCACGGTACTTATGTGGTAAAAGCAAATGCATATCTGTGGCGTTTCTAGGAGACACAACATGATATGCACTACTCATTGCTAAATGGAGCACATAAAAACAATTTCCAAAGAAAAAGAGCAGCCTCGCAGACAGTTCAGTGCGGTCGGTGTTGTGGTTCAACAAAAGTACAGATGTTTATCAAGGTTCCCTGCCGTGGAAAGTGCAATTTCTCTTCAAAGCCAGCTCAATTCGGGTTCTTTCGGTTTTTGCAGATTTCAAGAAAAATCGTTTGGAGGTCATATTTTTATGTATATCAGTATATACTGAAAACACGTAACCCACTTATAATTGAATGATTGTAAAAAGCATACAGCATGTCATGGAATTATTATAATGGTGGTGGTTGAAAGTGTTGCAAAGAACCTGAATGTTTTACTCGAACCTATCAACTTGATCCCAAAGATGCCACTTTTCTAGTGATTCGTTGACCACCACTTTCAGATACAAGAGACACACCTTTGCAAGTTGTGCAACTAGTCGCCCGAAGTACCTGAAAACTGGAGCTTGTTACTTCCCCCCTCTCAGGCTACGACGTCAGAGACTCCCCCTGAAGCTGTGTTCAAGCGACGCAACACTTCCTTCGGTGACCACTCGTACGCAGCTGTGTCACCACGACTGCACAGGGTCCTGGCCACGAGTAGGCAAAAGCTGCAGAAGGCGAGGAAACTGTTGAAACAGGTAAAGAAGAAGATCAATCGGAAGACGGCCAGGATTAGGAAGCTGAACACGCTGCTCCGTGAACTGAGGAAACGACTTCCTAAGCCAGCAGTTGACATACTTGACAATGCATTCACCAACACAATGCGCACCCAAGTAGCACGGGGAGCCCGGCCGAAGGATGGCCATATCCCCATGGCCGAGCCTATTTTCATCGGCCATTGCCCGGCCAAAGAGGTCGGTGCCGACCTCGTTATGGTCCCTCGGCATAAGAAAGGCCCACCTGCCCGGGCTTTGGGAGGGCCGGGCCCCATGGCCGAGCACCCCTGGCTCAGGCATCGGCTGGGCACCAATGGCCGGGCACCGGCAGAAGACTAAGGGCCAAGGGCAGTATTGGGTCGGCCACCGAGCTGGCATGGTGGCATTGGCAGAACACCAGTGGCCGAGGGCGGATTTGGGTCGGCCACCAACCTGAGATCGTGGCACCGGCAGAACACCAGTGGCCGAGGGTGGATTTGGGTCGGCCACCAAGATGATATCGTGGCACCGGCAAAACACCAGCTGCCAAGGGCGGATTTGGGTCGGCCACCGAGATGATATCGTGGCACTGGCAAAACACCAGTGGCCGAGGGCGGATTTGGGTCGGCCACCGAGATGATATCGATGGCACTGGCAAAACACCAGTGGCCGAGGGCGGATTTGGGTCGGCCACCGAGATGATATCGATGGCACTGGCAAAACACCAGTGGCCGAGGGCGGATTTGGGTCGGCCACCGAGATGATATCGATGGCACTGGCAAAACACCAGTGGCCGAGGGCGGATTTGGGTCGGCCACCGAGATGATATCGTGGCACCAGGAGGACACCAGTGGCCGAGGGCGACTTTGGGTCGGCCACCGAGATGATATCGTGGCACCGGCAGGACGCCAGTGGCCGAGGGCAGCTTTTGGGTCGGCCACCGACCTGAGATCCTGGCACTTGCAGAACCCTGGTGGCCGAGGGCGGTTTTGGGTTGGCCGCCAACCTGAGATTGTGGTACCAGCAGAACGCCATTGGCCGAGGGCGGCTTTCTGTCGGCCGCCGAGTTGACAGTGTGGCACCGGCAGGATGCCAGTGGCCGGCAATGGCATTGGGTTGACAGCCAAGCTGGTATGGTGTCCATAGAAAAAACTTGGCAAAGATGGTTAGGCCAATGACTCTCACTAGAGGCCACGCTCAAGGTCTGTTCATACTTGCAAGACGCAGTGGTTGCGTGACTGCATTTTGGTCACCGAGAGACGGTGATGATCGCAAAAGCGACTGGTTTGGAGTTGAAACCGCTCGCTTTTGCGACAAAAAAGCAGTCGCGCGACCACCAGAACTTGGAAGTGTGAATGCGCCTTTAGGGACTCCACTCCCCGATTGTCTTGTGGCACCGCCAGAAGATTGAGTGAGACCGCTCTGCCATGAACCGCTTCAACATTTCTGGACGACGGAAAGCTGTCCTTGAAATTCTAAGTAAAGCTCCAAATAATTTAAATACAATAATTTTAATCCATAAGATGGCCTAAGTGTTGTTACTCTGGAGCATAGCTTATTTAGTGTCGCTCATGTTCCCCTAACCAGTGGATTGCAGGTTGCCTGTTGGCCTATTCAATTTCTTGTCATGCAGCTGGCCTCCTCTGTTTGGGGGGGGGGGGGGGGGGGCTACAGAAACACACCCTAATTCATGGCAGGAGCCAACAAAAATATGTAAATTTATTTGAAGTGAAAAATAAACAAGCGAACAGGGAATCCTATTTGGCAAGTACACCATTAACCGTAAGCAAAGGACGGATATGTAATACTCTTTCAAGTAGCAATGACAGTCAAACTTCAGGGAATAACATTACCTAGCATTCCTTCATGTGTGCTTTGTTGAAAGTGATGAGATCTGATCATTTTGTTCACACACTTGCTTCTGTTCTGTTGGGAATATGTGGAAGAGCGTCCTCCGGTACAAGCCCGTGCCATTGACTGCACTACGGTGCTATTTGGTAACCGGATGTGCCTATATGCATTTTTCTCATGAGCACATGCCATTGGCATTAGGTCCTACAAGAATGACATCACTCTCAGCAGCTCCTGCCATCTAAACACAGTAAATGTTTAAAGTTGGAAAGATTGCTTGCCCCGATTTCCAGCAACCAGGACCCTGGTTAGGAGCAAGAGTAAGGCTAGACACATCTTTCGTTAGTCTTGCCTGGCAATAGGTTGTTCGAAAACACCATGAACTGTGCTGTCGAAGGCCGAAGCTGCTTTGTCCTGACCCTAGTTGACCTAAACCCGTTGTCACATCAAGAGAAATGTTTGCACATTATTCAGGAACTATGTTTTGTAGGTATGTGTGTACAGTCAAACCCGACTATATTGAACCCGTTTACTTGGAATTATTTCTTATATTGAAAAACTTTTGTGCACAGTAATGTTACAGCGATAATATATATCAACAATTACGGTTACATTGAACAAAAATAGCAGCCACTACCGATACATCGAACTGCCAAGAGTGCCGTTTTGCTCTGCAAGCTTGCTTTCCCCCAATGTTTGCGGCCGCATTGGGGGAAAGCCAGCTTGAAGAGCACGCTGGCTTCTTTTTTGTGGGCGGACGCATCGACTTAACACCTCTAAGAAAAAAAGCCGTAGCGCTCCGAGTGGTTACATCACAATGTCGGTGAAGGAAGGCCATGATGCAACTACATAAAAAAAATATCACATCGCCGTGAAAAACATTTTTCTTGTCAAGCGGCACGGTGGGGTTCGTGCGCGTTTATCCGACATTAATATGTCTTAAAAGTGCTGTCTTGTACAATTTATTATATATATATAATATAAATGTAATATACAATGTGCTACCAAGGTTGAAAGTACCAATTTTATATTCATGATTACCCCCATAACCGCGGGACTATGTGCAGTCCCGCAGCTCCCCACACCTTTCGAATGAACCAGTTCGGTGAGACATTTTCATCTTCCCTCCAACGGCTCCGATTCTGGTAAATGTATGTTGTGTGCGAGCTGCAGACTGTCTGAAAAGGAACGCTGGGACTTTCAGAAGGGAAGAGAACGGAAAAAAATCTAGTCATCGCCGCGGGGAGCGCACACGAGCAAGAGATCGGCCGACAACGTTAAGCCTCCCACACTGCTCCGCTGCTCTCGTGTGGGGTTCTTTTGATCCTTGTTCCCGACGTTTTTCTGTCGTCACCGCAGTCTCGGGTAGTTTTTGTGTTCGCTTGATACTACGGCATTTACATGGATTCGTGGAACAAGTCCTGCTACTGTTTCAGTGACATCTGTGGAAACTAGCCAACAATGACACTGGTCGATTATCGATAGACCTTTCAAGATCTCGACAAAGAGGGCCTTCTTGGAGCTTGTCTTCAAATGTTTTCGTGCCAGATATTGTGGGACGTATGTACGATCGACACGTGAGAAACAACTTATTTACGGGCTTTCTTGGTCATGTGGGACGCAAGTAAGTGCTGCAGTCTTTCTTTTAAAATTTTGTGATAGAGTGGAATTTTGTTCTTTGTTGCTATCCGTGTACAGTGGCGTCGACATTTGTAAATATGCGTTATAACATTCTAGTTTTCACTGGAAGGTGAATGACAAGTTTGTGCAATCATACAAAATGCATTTTTTGTGGTTTCGTGTTTGTTGATACTAATGTCATTTTATTGCCTTTACCGCATTTATACCAGGACCTTAACTGTATTACGGCAATAGTATTATTGTATACAAAAGAAGTTATATTTTGTTTACATGATTGTAAGTGACCCTTTACTAGCCGTGTCCACGTTGACTACGTCTACCTGATCTTTAACTGATCTGTTTTGCTGTGTCCACTCACTGCGTGTCTCACAATTTTGTTGAAGCGTTTCTGTATAAATTATGCATTCCTACAACAATTGCGGCTACTGAATGTTTTCAACTTAAAACAATCACTTTGTATAGGCGTCTTATACGCATACTTCGTGCCATTTTGTACCGATTATTTAGCAATGTAATGCTTTGCCCGTGAAATACGATGTTTTTTAGACCCATTGTTATGGGCAGCTTTCATTTTAGCTAACATATCACGCTTATGTGACTAAAACCGCGTTACGACAATCGACCCACGCGCGTTGCCTTCGCTTCGACGTGCGCCCCCGATGGCCTTCATTTGCGACGTCACGAGAGGAGCGCTACGGCCTTCTCTTCTGGGAGGTGTTGGTCGACCGCCCGGAAGAAAAAAAAAATCTCTTTTGCGCAGGGAGCAGGGGGAGGGCACTCCATGGTTCCTCTTCCCACTCCGTCCACAAAAGAGAATACCGTCTTTTCTTTCGGGAAGGTTGAGGCGGCCGCCCGGAAGAAAAAAAGCCAGCTTGCTCTGCTAGCTGGCTTTCCCCCAATGCAGCTGCCTGCCTTAGGGGAAAGCCAACTTGCAAAGCGAAACGGAAGCTCTGCAGGTGCTACTGCTCAAACGTGCTCCGTGCTCTCAGCATAGTTCGGCCCAAATGTGCGAATATAGAAGGCAGCGGCCTCAATTTCGGAGTCCATCGATAGCGTAGAAAAATATTGTTATCGCGGATGCAATGAAGAAAAAGCAGCAGAAGATGCGAGACTATTTCATTGTGTAATATGTTAGCAGAAAGTGGATTTTTGAGAGTCAAATTCATTAATACTTCTAATTGAATAACCCGCTATATCGAACTGGCGAACGTTTTCTTGCGAGTTTGATGTAAACGGGTTTGACGTATAGTGGATTTTGAGTTCAAAACGAATTTAAAGTGAATATTTTTTTCTGTTGAATAGTTTTGAATTCAGTAAAACCTCGTTATAACAAAATGGGATATAACAAACAAATGGATATAACAAAGCAATCATAATTCCCCTTGCTTGAATAGTTGGAAGAAATGGACATTGGCTATAACAAACTAATGGTTATAACAAAGTAATTACGACCGCTCCTTCAACTTCTTTATAACGAGGTTTTACTGTATTGTTATAGTTTTTACAAACCTTCCACTACTGTACGATACTTAAATAGAAACCCTGCAGGTTGCTGCCGAGATTTCACTTGTACTCTCCTAAGTCCTTATTTTGATACGTAACTCATATTTATAAACTGCGGCATCTGAACAAGAAATTTGTTGCAGATATTCTAATCAAGGAGATTTTTAAATCTGCTTGTTATATGCAAATATTTTGTATTCAATATAAAGTATAAAAAAAGGAGCATGAATGATGAACGTATGTTCTCAAGGCCTCTTTTGCCTAACCCAGACATTGTTTCTCAAAATTAATGAACTTCTAATTGCAAGTTTTAGAATGTGTCCAAATTTGTGCGTTTCAAAGAAATGGCATTGTCGTAATGCGCCAATCCAGACAAGGTTTAGGCTTGGCACATGCGCACTGGTGACGACGCTATTTTTGCTTCCGCAAGGCTTTTGGGTACTCTAGCCTATAATTGCCTAAAACTATTACTTAAGGTATTCACATCAAACTTGATCACATCAGTCATGCTCGTGAATGCAAGTGACAACCTAGCTTTTCATAATCTACACCTTTTTGTGTCTAGAAATTTAGTTTTTTATCCAAAAGTGTTTTTTGTACTCCTTCATACACAAACTCATCTCAGTTACGTCACAGTGCGGTGGTGGCGCTTCGGGCACAATTCCGGTCTGGGGCTCTGGGCGGAAGTCCCCGTGCGAGACATGTATTCCTGCGTTGTTTTGAAAGGAACCTGACAAAAACCCTCTTTCTCGTCAAAACATCACGACTGGGGCTGTACCAAAAGAGTCTAGAAAGGTTTGAAGGTTAGTTTTCATGTGCTCGGTTCGTCCGAGAACGTGGATATGTGCCGTGAAAAGGGAAAACCAGATGCCGTCGGACCACAACTGCTTGGGCGGGAAGCACTTCGGGTTGAATTCACGAATACTGGTGGTCATCAATTTATTCTTTTGTTCCCACATGAATGCCAAAAAACCGTCATGTTGCACCGACCATTGTATAATGACTATGTTCAGTGCGTCTTCAAGTTCAAACGGCCGCCT